TAATTTAAAATTTAGATATATCATATGAGTAAAGTATAAAAATAAAAAAACTTATGAAACAAACAGGACATTAATCATGTTTAATTTGACAAATGGCTCTTCCCTCCAATAAAGAATGTCTTACAAATCAATAAGAAGAAAGAAAAATAATTCAATAAAATAAGCAAGATGTTTGAGCATATACTACAGAGGCAGCCATATATTTCAGTTAATATGTAAGAATTTCTCTGACAAGCAGACAACAAGACATCTCAGAGAAGAACCACAGTGAAATATCAGAGTACACGCAAGTGCAGTCACAAGGCTGAGACAACAGCTCCAAGTACTAGCGAAGGGAGAAGTCAACTGGGGACAACAGCTGGAGAAAAGTGACTTGCAGGCAGAGCGAGGAGGGGTGGAGATGCTGGCAGGGGCCCCGTGGGCCTCGGCTGCATCGATGTGTCCTGCTGGTGTGAGTCACAGGATATGCATGCTCTGTGTTTTGTTTGGTCTTTTTTTGCTGTTTATTCATGTATGCTATATTCAAACTATTAGCTAAAATATGTATGAGTAAATCAACAGCATGTTATCTTTGATAAATTTCCTCTGAAAGAATATTTCATATGAAATTAAAGGGTACATCTTATAGAAGAGGTGTTTTGATGAACATGGAATGGGTAATTTTCTCATAACTGAACAGAAGTTACTACCAAAATGAAAGGGATATTCCAGATAAAGTTTGTTTTCTAATTTCATTTATTGCGAATTACTTTTGTTATTTATGTGGCCTGGATTCTCCTGGACTTAGCTGTATTCCTTTTATTAGCCTCACAGTTATTTTTTGCAACTCAGAATGATTACTCTGGGTCATTTTCTTCTCTCTGCAATGTGCAACTCTCAGAACTTCCTCCCTCAAGGACAATTAAAATAGACCTATTTATTATTGTGTTTGTTGTGCGATCTGAAAGTGACCTTATTTGTTCCATGCTCTTGGTAGATAATTTTATTCCATGTACAGACTAAGGCTAGCATTTATGTTTTCCTGATATTTCATAGGGATTCTTGAATCTGTCTGCCAGGTCATTATTTTTTCTAATTCAGTGGTGCAACCCACGTCTGTTATTCAACTACTTTATTATCAGTTTTTAGAAGCTCTATAGTGTTTCACTTTGAAAGCCCCACAATAGTTTGATAGTTTATTTCTGTTCTTCAAACAGTACTTCTCACAGGACCCTAAACTTTCTTTAAGGTATTACAAATCTTTCTTAAAGTGCTTATCTGGCCATTTCAAAATATTAAATGCTTCGTTCTCTTGTTCTGTCGTGTTTTTGTAATTCTTACTTTCCATTTATGCCCACTTAAATCTAATTTAGTAGAATTATGCACTGGCATCTTCCTAATTTTGATTTGCTCAATTTTATGATCGTCTATGTTTATAATTGATTGGCTCTGAGGTTTATCTTTCTTCTACACTATTCTGCATTAAAGCGATTATTTTAATTTTGTGCTAAGTATTTGGAATCTTGCTACAAATATGATTACATTTCTATATATTTATCATAGTCACAGAAATAATACTTGTAATATCCTTTTTAATGAATTTTATATTTCATTTTATGTAAACTTCATAACTACATCGTTTGGTTCTTTAGGTGTGTGTCCACCATTTTACCGTTATCCTCAATATTCGTAAAGGAGATTGAAGTCATGAATGATTGCACCACGTAGCTAACATCATCCTGGAATCTTTTAAGGCTGAATGGACTGAGAAGTTCAAAGTGGAAACAATAACACTAACAGCTAAATATTAACAATAATAATACCAAAAACAAAAATACAAAAATTGTGAGGGATCAAACTGAATTTTCTACAGTTTAATTCACTGGGGATCCAAACTTCTATCCTAGGAAACACCAAGAAGTACATAACATGCTCACTGTACAACACGAGAAAATAATCCATGGAATATAGCAACTAGGAGGAGACCAAACCTAACATAACATAGAGGCCCTGAGTTCAGACTCACATAAAATATGTAATGAAGGACTTGAATCTATTCAGATGAACTATCCCTAGGAAGATAATCCCACATGTCTGAATAATCCCACATGTAGTTTTGTTTCATTTTCATCATGTTTTGTACCCTTGTCAGGCCACAGAGTATTCACATGACAAAGTACAAGACTGTATTTCTAAAAAGTCAAAAAAAAGAAGAAATTACAAATGTTCCAAACGTTAGAGTAAGCACAGTCTCCCTTTAAAATAACCAGGACTAATACGAACACAAATTAGAGAAAGCAGAAGACAAAGAATTAAAGGACGGAAAACTTCTTGAGGCAATATTAACCTCTAAAAAAATGCTGCTAAAAATCACAGCCCTGAAAATCACAGTCTCTGGCATTAAGTAATAATTGGATACTTCAGAACCAAATTGTTTTGTGAAAGGCGAAAGTAAAGGCTGGGGGAAAGGTCAAAATCATATTTCAAAGCAGAAACAGAAAGGGAAATATTTGAAATTGCAAAACAGACGATAAAACACATGTAACAAAGAGTAAAAAGATCTGCCCAACATATCGTTCCTTTATGGACCCTCTCCCCCTTTTTCCTCAAAGACAAATTATCTTAGGCTGCATATAAAAGGTATAGTATAATTAAGGAACGAGGTGTGATCAGAAAATATGGTGCCCACCTAAATTTTTAAAAATTTATTACAGGGGCTGGGGATTTAGCTCAGTGGCAAAGTGCTTGCCTGGCAAGCGCAAGGTCGTGAGTTCAATTCCTGGTACCAGAAGAAAAACAAAAACAAACAAACAAATAAACAAAAATTTATTACAATAAAAGACACTTTGTCATGAGTCCACTTCAGAAGCCTCCCCTCCCCTTGAACTCACTCATCTCATCCTTCTTGCCTTTTTCTGAAGCAGCTCGGGGTCCTCCCCGCTAAGTGGGTTTACTAGCGTTGTCAAGGCTGCCTTGATGTTTGGGCAGAAGCCATGCAAAATGTTTATTTTCCACAGTCATTCTGATTTTGGGGAAAGCCAGAAGTTGCCCCAAGTGCAGATCAGGTGAATAAGGTGGTTGAGAACACAGGGTCACGCTTTTATGAGCTTGCAGATTCCACGTCCAGTGTGAATAAGTCCACACGTACTATGTGGCGAGAGCACTGCTCCTGTGTGTTCAGTTCACCAGAGCCGCACTGTTCCCTGAAGAGGAAGAATGGACACTACCCAAACTCATCTCTCCTCTGCTTGTATATTTTATGAGACTGATACCGTTGTTCTCTGATGTTCTTAACTTAGGATTCATCCTGCCATTTTTATCTGAGTAGCATGTGTACATCTGATCAGGTTGTTTGTTGACATCATAATTTTAAGTGTCGTAAGGCAAGAGTAATTTCCCTGATGTGTAAAACCCTATACACTTGTATAACTATTAGCATAAAATTATAATAAAATGTAAAACATAACTCAGTCCCCACTTGTTTTAGGAATCGACTGGACTTAAATTACATTTTACCAAAATTAAATGACAATACATTTAATAGTCTCAGAAAACATATAAGACATCTTTTACTTTTGATAATTCAAAAAATGGTAAGACTTTAAGGTTCCTAGTTTTGTCACATCCTTAAATATCAACACAAATTTTATTCAGTGTCAGAAATAATTACAGATTAGATCATCAATGAAATAATTTTGTAAAATTTTATTGTAACAGAAAAAAAAGCTGAGACTATTTAGTTCCTGTTTTTATTGTTTTTATTCATGTTTTAATTACAGGAACCAAAATAGTTATTATCAATGTTGATTCTTGTATGTGATATTTGTGTAACCAAGCCATATTTAAAATCACATATTTTAGGAATGTTCATCTGAATTGTTTTCTGGTACTGGGAACTGCACCCGGAGCCTTGTACTTGCCAGGCAGGCACTGTGCTGCTGAGTTAAATTCCCGGCTGTTGGTCTAAAATTGATTTCATATTTCCACACCTGTCAATTAATCCCAGTGAATAAGCAATCAGGCTGAAGACAATTTCATCAAATAAATTAATCTGCTTCAATTTGAAAATTATGTGTTTACTCAAAACTGAATATAAATGGTTTAAATATCATATTAGCCAAATACAAACAGTTTTACCTTTTCTATCTCCAAATATACTGATACTTAAATACAAACACAAATGAAGATTATAAAAAAATACCTGGAATACTTTGCTTACTACCGTTTAACGTGAATCAAAGAATTAAATAAACTTTTTTTTTCTGAATGAAGGGTAATCTCCAATTTTTATTTCCACTGTTTTGAAATTCAGCAACCAAATGAATTCCAGCCTTATGAACTTTGAGCACCATTTTAGAACACCTGTACTAACGTACATTTCTAAGGTTACTTGAGGAGCAGAGAAACAGATTCCACAATATGCATACTTAAAAATACAGGAAAACTGAACAGTAATGAACATGTGCTGATGCTATAGAAGATGAATAGCATAAATTTAATATTATAAAATTCCGCTGGGCAAATAACAGACAGTGGGAGCTCCAGCTTGGGTAGGGCTTGGCCTCTTTCTGGGCTTTATGTTCTTCTCTCAAAACTCCCTTTTTAAAAGGAGCCTAAGGTAGGGTCACTCGTCCGCGCAGCTCTCAGGCCATGTCCCTGGATGAGCAGGAGTGAGACCCTCTAGACCAAGGAGTCTGAAATTCACCAAGGTCGAAGCCCTTTTGTGTTGATTGAAAATAATACCAGTATGTTTACAAACTGGTCAGCACATGTCAATATTACAATGAGCTTGTTTTATGTTTAGGAGAGCATAGTTTCTCATGGGCGTTTTTGGAGCCCTTTTAGAGTCAAGAGATGAACCACCATTGACACATCACTGTTACTCAAGCTCCAGAGTTTACTGGCGGGTTCTGTCTTGGTACTGCGCATTCTGTGGACTGTGACGAAACTCAAACGACAAATACCTGTTACTACAGTCCCGTATGGTGTGGTTCTGTGCCCTATATTTCCTAGTGCTTCGTGTGTTTGTTCTCTTTTCCACTAGCAGACACAGACCTCTGCATTGTCTCATCGTTTCACTCTTTCCAGAATCGCATGTAGTTGTGATAATACGGTATGCAGCCTTTTCAGATTGTTCTGCGTCACGGTTTAGGTCTGGAGTATCCTCAGAAAGGCTCCCGCGCTCAGGGGTGGGGCTTTAGGACGGGCAGGATCGTCCAGTCTGACCCTCAGCAGGGCATTGCTGTCAGGAGGCGGGGTCTGATTGAACGAGGCGGTCACTGGGAAGCCTGGAAGAGGGGAATGCCCTCTCTGCTTCCGCCCTTCTCTCTCGGCTTCCTGGTCACCGTGGGGTGAGCATCTTTCCCTCCGCCACGCCCCCTCTGTGGTGCTGTTCCTGCCTTGGAGCCGGCTGAGCAGGACTGAAACCGTGCTCCCAGCGAACTTCTCTCTAAGCCGTGTCTGCGTCATGCCCCTGCCATGACGGGAAGGTGGCGGAGACAGCCTCTTGTGGCTGCAGCTCTCTGACCTCTGTTCATGCGGGAGGGGCACACTTCAGCTCTCTACTGGGACAAAGGCGCATAACCCAGGCTTTACTCAAAGAGGAACAGGGCCTGTTTCTGGGTGTGATCACTGTACAGGTTTCTTTTAGGCTCACCCTTTTTAAGAACAGTTTTCAAAAGCTCTTTGAGGTTCACTGTTGGCCCATCTGAGTTTTCCTGCACAGTACCTTGTGCTAGATATTTCTAGCACTGATCGTACTAATTACTACATTTTCATAAAGGCAAAAAAAAATCAATGTGATATTTAAGTCTCTTTATGTCTTATGTGATCTTTACTGATATTTTCCTGTAATTTAACAAAATATTTACAGATTTTCCAATGTTTTCATATGGTGCAACTCTTTTCATTATTTTTTTTTTTTGGTTTTTTTTCTCTGGTACCGGGAACCGAACTCACGACCTTGCGCTTGCCAGGCAGGCGCTTTTGCCGCTGAGCTGAATCCCCAGCCCCTCTTTTCATTATTTATACCTAAAGTTCATTTCTTCCTACTACACTGTTATTTGAACGGTATATTTTAATGATAGACTAATATGAATCAATTTAATTGCTTTTCTTTCTGACGGGCTTCATAAATCATTAACTTCTGACAATTTATCTTTCAGTAATTCAGTAAATAAATCCAAAACTACATCAAGTCATTCTCATGCTTGAAGTTGGAAGACTCTAATTTCTCACTTGTTTTATCAAAATGGTATCCTTACATTTCCATATCATGGTTAAGTAGATAGTACCCACTAAGGTTGCCTTTGTGTAGATTTCAAAGATACTTGAGGCTATCCCAGCGTTATATGAAAAATGGAATTGACGTGAAATAATCATTTATCATTTCATGCTTAAATACCAGTTGCAATATAAACATGAGTGACTGTGAGACCACAGAGATGTCCTGTCCCAGGCTTTGGAAGAGGTCAGTGTGGATGAGGGTCCCCACTGAGGCTTAGATGGAGGGAAGCTCACAGACTTGAGAGAGAGGAAGTTGATGTGGTTGGGGGAAAAGCACGTGGTCAAGCAATTCTAAAATTCATTAGTGTTGAGATCATGCAAGACCCTGCAGTCTCTGTCTTTACTCCAAGAACATTGGAAGTCTATCAGGTACAGTAGTAGCCACAGTTATGTGTGTTCCCCAAATGTGCTTAAGCCCACTGCACAGTAGATCCAGGGCAGAGGAAGGATATGGGGACAGGACCCAGCTGACTGTGCAGCGGAGGGCTCACACCTGGAGGAGATGCAGCTCATGTGGTAGATCTTAAAGATGTTTAGGGGAAATCAATAGGATTTGGAAATTGGGAAGGTACGCGGATGATTCAAAAAAGATCATTAAAAATATCTACACAAAGAACATATTAGAATTGGTAGATGAGCAAGATTTGGGGAAGTCCTTAAGGGAGGGAAAATTTCAATATTAATACTAGCTTTCTGAATTATGCAAACTGCCACCAATGGTGGTTCTTTCACTGAGATCAAAAGCTGGAATTTGTTGACCTCAAATCCACGTATTAAATGGATACATTGACTACGTGGCTACACTGACTGTGAGGTGCATTTGAGATAGAAAATGTCACCTTACTCTGAGAAGCATTCTGCTTTATCATAGTTATTAATTCCAGAATCCAATTAGCTTTATCAAACTTTTACATTTAAATAATATCTCTGTATTTCTACTTTTCCCCAAGCTGAGTCTTGAATTCCTTTTTTTGTTGTTCTGACACTAAAAGGTATAACTTGTTTGGAGAAACCAGTTCATGTCATTTTTCATGTCTTCACTCCAACAATTTCTATTTTTAATTTGTACTCTTTTAGCACTTGACATTTAGGAGTGCTTGGTGAAAATTAGTTGTCTGCTCTATTGTTTAGGTGAAATAAAGATAATCTTTACACACAAATAATTGCTTTCTTCAAGTTCCCCAAGTCATTAAAATATTTTAATTTGCTAAAAACTATGATCAAGTCTGACAGTTACAAAAATAAGTAGTGCTAAACCACCAAGGTGCATTTCTTTACTGTTATCTTCTTAACTTTAAAGGGAAGGTATAGAATCAAATATGATTAAAATGATTCTCTGATAATACAATTTGTCAAAAATGTTTGCCAGTTATTCATAAATTTCTGAAGTTTAAGCAAAATACAAGTAAATAGAACTTTAAACTTACTACCCAAAACAATAGCTCATTAATTCCTTTCAATTCAAAGCAATGCTGGATTCTCTAGGTTTCCCAAACTGTTTTACAGCTGTGGCCAGTGCAGTTTTTGAGTGCTGCCTTCCCCAGAGCAAGCTTTATCCCTGGTTTTCTTAAACTTGAGAGAATTTGCATCACACTCAGGTGTTCTGTCTACTGCAGACGCGCCCACTACTGCTTGTGAGTGGGGCCTGAGTCCCGCGCAATACTGACGCTTGGAATCATACCCTCCCCAGTGCTCAGAAAGTCTCCGCTCTTGCTGCAGTGCATACATAACGAATGTGCGGAATCAGGAGGGTAGAGGGCTCAGAGAGAGGCATGTGCTGGGAAGAAGTTCGGAGCGGCTGTGCCTGACAAAGAAAGACCTGTGCTGTAGTCGTGATGAACAGAGCTCATTGTACATTTCCTTCACTGCAGCATCTCTCTCGGGTCCTGTCCTGAGACCCCAGCCGAGCAGACTATTACCTATCCATTCCTAAAACACGTGGAGCTGTCCGTGGTTCTGGGTAGAAACACATCAACCACTTACACAGTGGTGATAAATGTCCTCCAGTACCCTAATAAGTGTCTGGGAAAAATTCCACGCATTTTATAAACCAGGAGATGTAATCATTCACCAGAGACCTGGTCCTCTCCAGATGGTCTCTTGGTCCTTCCCCAAAACAAGCAAGCCTGAAGTTGTCCTCTCCCTCCATTATATTTCTCTCAAACCAAACAGTATCATGTGTGAGAAAATTTGGTTTTGATGATAGTTTATCTTACAATATTTTCCTGTTAGTTGAGAAATTTTGATGTAATGGGAGATGAAAGAGACTAACAGCTTCAGAAAACTTGAAATTGTGTCTTGTTACATGAATGCTCAGTTAAACATGGACTCTGGGCAGTTCTATTTTCTTCTGCTCTGGATGCTTGATTATCTGATCTGATGTTTTACTGTGATATATGTATATAACTCCTGACACATATTCTGGATGAGCTCAGAAATATAAATGGATTAAAGATTTGAGAAAAAGATGTGGATCCTTGTTTTAAATTAGTAACGTACATGGTTTCTCTTGCTTTTGTAGTCTCAAATATCGTAATCAGAATCTCATTTGAACAGAAGTGATTAGAAAAAATGATAGAGACAGAAAGATAGGGATAGATGGAGAAAAATAGATAAAGGTATCAGGGTATCTTAAGTACCCTGATAAATGTTTAACATTTATCATTTTTGTGATGACAATTATCCAAGAGAAGATATCTTTGTCAGTATTTTGGAAAATGAGACTAGGATAATAATGGCAGTAATTCACATACTGCTAGTTTATATAACAAGGTGTTTTGTTTTGGTTTGTTTTGGTTTGGTTTGGTTTGGATTTTTGGTGATGCTAGGCTCGCACACAGGGCCTCACACGTGCTGAGCAAGCACTGTGCTACTGAGCTGCCAGCCTCACATCTTGCTTTTCTTTAAGTGTTGAGAGAAGGTCTTGGTGGTCTCTAAGTGGCCCAAACTGAGCTCAGACTTGGAACTCTCCTGTCTCAGCCTTGCACAGTTGTGGGCTTACAGGGGTGCACTGTCACACTTGGCTCACATTTAACTTGATTCACCATTGAGCCTCACCCAGCTTTTTTCAGGCTGTTGAAGGGAGATCTGCTGGACATGGGGGGGTCAACAACGGCCTTGAATTCAAGGGATGGAAGAGTTACTAGTGCAGGAACATTTCATTACCTCTCAAGTTGGGGTTACAGAGAGGTCATCTAACCCTAGCATTGCTAGGGATTTAAACTCCTCAGCCACCACACACCTCTGATAATGCTGTTTCAGACTCCATGAAAGGTTTCCTTTTCAGCTAAATTATTATGAAAGGTGGCTAATTCCCATGCATAGATGGGCACAGACCTGAAGAACCGCAGGAGCTCACTTCTGAGAAGCAAGAATCCAGAGAGCCGCATTTCAGGACTTAGACTGACCAGTGTCAGAATCTTCTAAGAACACAGACCCATGAGAGGCACAAAAGTCTCGAGGAGAAAGCTGAGACTTCCCACAGGTCACGAGGAAGTGACTGAGTCAGGTCTGACTGTTTTAAACTCAAGCAGGGAGAAAACTAAGTCAGTACCTTAGTGTGTATCAAGCATACCAATGGTAGATGACTTACTGGGGTTAGATTTTATGATGGCACAAAAGCAGTGCACTCTCAGTGGAAAGGGCTCTTTTAGTTTTGGATTTGAATCATGTGCTGGGTGGCATGTGTTCTGTCACAATCACTCTCAATGCTGGGCAAAGGCTGTGTGTGAGTCCCAGCACCCAGCCGGCTCCCAGACCCCATGGGAAACATCTTGGGCTCTTTGGGGGACCATGCTGCTGAGCAAGGGTGCTCTGTAGATTCCCTATCTTAAATGCTTTTTAACCTCTGCTCTTTTCATCTTATGGTGGGGTTTATACAGATGCCATTCTGTGGAGGGAAAGATACAGACAGACAGACAAAAAGAGGTTATTTCCTCTTGCGTTATGACTTCAGTTTTGTTAAATAGGAGTAGCAAATGTCTTCTAAGCAAAGGCCCCACCTCCACCCCGAAGAGCTGCTCAGATACCCAGAGGTTTCTCTCACTTGCACTACCACGTTCTGAGAGACAAGGGGCCTAGGGCAAGTGTGCCTCAAGCTTGAAGCTCCAAAGAGGCAGCCTTGATCCCAGCTACCACAGACAGGCAAGGGCAAGGGTGGGCAATGCTCCGTCAACACAACCCAAAGCTGCACAGAATGGTTTGCTCAGTGCAGTCAACAAGGCCAGGGCCACTGAGCTGCACTGGGTGCAGGGACGAGGAGCACCCTGGCTCCTGTGGATGCACACACGCAGGGCTGAACTCAGCAGGAGGCTGAAGCTCCGTCATCAGGAGGACAAGAGGGTGGGGTTGCCTCTGGTGCGTCCGCTGAGCTCCAACCCTCAGACAACAACCTCACACTGGACACCAAACTACCAAGGGTCTGGCACCTGTCAGGCGATGCCAACTGCAGGACTTTTGTCTGTTCCCTACCCTGGCACCAGCGGACAGCCCCTCACTCACTACACAGAGTTATTTGTTCCATGAAAACCAGACCAGCCCTGAGTATTTTGCTTAAACAATAGCACCCCAAAATAGACATAACATAGTACTGGGTAGTCAAAGCAGTTCTGGTAGAATTCTGTATCCCTTCTTTACAACTGCATCAATTTTTATAATTAGAAAGAACTGGTCTTGATTCCATTATAAGAGAGAGTGCTGGTAATGGTGATATTTATCCATGCATTTGTTCCTAATAGTCTACCTTGAAAAAAGTAGACAATATTCATGGATCAAATTGTTTATTTGATAGAAACAAAATAATGAAAATAAATTTGAACTTTCTTTTTTAGCAGACTTTTTCAGCTTTATTAAGATGTGACTGACAAAGGTTGCATGTATTTTAGGTACATGGGTGATGCTTTGATGTGCTTATGCATTGTGAAATGAGGAGTACCAAGCTAATTTACATCTTCACACCCTCTCACCCTTCAGGTAAGTGTGTGTGTGTGTATGTGTGTGCACTCGTGTGTGTGTGCGTGTTTGTGTGTGTGTATGTGTGCACACGCGTGTGTGTGTGCGTGTTAAGAAACATCTACAGTCTAAAGCGCAATGCAAGCACTCAGTGTATATCTTGGCTGCGTCACTTTTCCTGCATTGGATCTTCGGAGCTCATCATCCTGCAGGAACAGAACCTGTGCCCCGGAGCAACACCTCCCCCTCCGCTACCCACAAGCCTCGCCCGCCCCTTTCCTCTCTGCTTCTAGGAGTTTGACGGTTGAAATTCTGCATCTGTGTGAGCACATGCAGCGTTCACCATCCCGTGCCTCGTTTGTTGTTTCCTAGTCATCTCCAGATGGACTTAGAATGACTCCCTAGCACAGCTCTGTGAACAACACCGCATTAAAGATGGACGTTTGGGCGTCTACACCACATACCAATTTCATTTCCTCTGCACACATATGCAGATGTCACAATTCCTGACCATAGTGTAGCTCCACGTTTAAGGTTTTGAGGACCCTCTGGCTGTTTTCCACAACCACTGTACTGTTCTACATTCCCATCAACAGGCAGCAAGGGTGTTCTTTCCTCCATCTCTTCACCAACACTTGCTTCTCTTTTGCTTTTTGCTGTGAGCCGTCTGAACGGGTATGAGATAATACATCACAGTGGTGTTGATTTGCATTTCCCTGCTGATTGGTGCTACTGAGCAATAAGTGGTATTTAGATACGGGGTGTTTATATATGACAGAATGAGAATAGAATCTTATGTCATGTGATACACAAAAATCAAATTCAAATGGGATAAAACTTAACCTTAAGACCTGAAACAATAAGAGTCCCCAGACAAGAAGCCATAGGAACAAATAACTTCATATAGATCTGGGCAATGATAATTTTAAATACAAGACCAACAGGACAGGAAACAAAAGTAAAAATAGACGAGGCAGATTCTACCAAACTAAAATAATTATACCTAGCAAAAGACACAGCCAACAAGGTAAGAGAGAAGAATGGCAGAAAATATTTAAAACTATAGAAAATAAATTGTTAATGTCCCAAATTCATAAAGAGTTCAAGCACCCCAAAAGCAAGAGAATAAATGATCTGATCATTTTTAAATGAGCATAGGACATGAATAAACATATCTCAAAAGAAGACTCACAAATAGACAGGATATGTGGAAAATGGTCCATTTATGTTGTTTGTATTTTTAAATTTCATGCACAGTGATTACACTGACCTAATGGGGACAGTCATGGGAACTTTCTTCTGTCAAAATTCAAATTTTTTTCCATCATCTTGAAATCTGTTGGGAACACACTTGCTTAATGAATAAAGCATTTAACATGCTTTCCAAGTCACAGTTAGTAACTAGAGGTCACAGTTCTCTGTGACCAGTGATATTAAAAGCATTTAATACTCCAGATTCCTTCAAATTCTTATTGAATTTTAAAATATAGCCAACGTTTATTACTCCTTTGAAGGTATAGTTGAAAATAAAATATTGGATTTACAGCTGTTTAAAAATTTAGGGATGATGGAGCAGACTTCCTCTCCACAAACTATTTCTTTTAGACTAAGAATATTTCTGTGAATTTCTTTTTACACATATTCCTTAGTTTCCATTTCTCTTCTTAATGTATTTAAAGGATTTAAGATTCTTCAAATCCAAAACTATGGGTAAAAGTACTTATTTGTCTTTTTAAAATTTTTTTTATTTTAAAGAGAATTTTTAAAAAAGAACAATAGCAAAATGCCAGCAACATAGACAAAAACAAAACAAAGCAAAATCAGTAGGAATGATACAGGGTTTCAGAACAAATCAACACCGAAATAATTTCAGAGCACTTCTCAAGAGTAGACTTAAAAACAAAAGAGACACCATCATGCTGCACGTAAGCCTCCAACCAGAAAAAAGTTCTAAATGTTTTGTGTGTATACCTGTTTGGGTATAAAATTGTACACAAATATGAGTGTTTAAGATGTCTGAAAAGGAATTTCTGAAGCCTCATTTTTATGTGATTCCAAAAGGACACCAAAGGCAGCAGAAGCTAGCCAGTGCTTGGGTATTTGTACACAAAGAACTCTCCTTCAGTGGGAGCCTCTGAAAAACTTCTCAGTGTTCCTGAGGCCTTTGGTTAATCAGCAACCTGAGCATACCAAAGCACTGGGGCAGAAGGGGCTGAGAGAAAGTGAATTTTGGGAAACTCTGTGTGATCTGAGTGGACCATCCAGCCCCCTTCACCCCAGAGTACTGAGCTCTTGGAGTTTCAGCCAAACAGTGTTGGACGGGAAGCTAAGCGGGAGCCAGGCTCCTTCTGTGGAAGAAGTTCTTTCCCTGCTACTTAGAGAAATAAGGGTCTCTATGTTCCCGTGGGACAAGGAGACACCTTGGTCACATATGGTCCAGGACCATCTCATCTGGACTGAGCAGAAAATGGCTCACCTGGATGGCACCACAACTAGAAAGAGGTCCTGTCATGCATCTCAGTGTAGGATTGGAGGCAGTTCATAGAAGACCATTATTTTGCTGGAAATTCCTACGAACTCAACAAATCATAAGACATTAGGAAGGTGAGTGTCTTAGTCACTTTCTCCCTGCTAGGACACAGTACCTGACACCTACAAGTTAACAACGGTACAAAGCTGGCCAGAGATTAGGTCATTTACATGCAATGGAAACTTCTAAATGCAATGCTTTCTGACTGATAACACACACACACACACACATAAATTTTGATTTATAATACTTCATACTCTATCATTTATTTGATCCACAATACATAATTTTGTTCTCAGAATCTGCTCATGTACTTTTGCAGGTAAGGACAGAAAGGTTATTTCTACAAAGTTTTTGTTTTCAATCGAAAAACTACCTTATTGTCCTTTAATAAATCTCAGGCTCAACAACACACCTCAGGGAAATTGGAAATTATAGGAGTTACACTACTCTCTGTCATCATAGTCTTGTGCTTGACAGATAAAGAAATGCATTAAAATACAAAGAAACAGGGGTAAAATGAATGTTTCATACAAATAAAAGCAATCTCAAGGAAAACAAGACAGCAGAAAACACTATCAAAATCTTTGCAGTTCTTTCATTAAGACTGTCAAATAAATTTTCACTGAGAGAGAGATTTCTTTTTGCTTTGGCCTTTGTGGCAGTGTAAGTTTCATCTGTTTGTTGGTGTTTTCCTTGGATTTAAAACTAACCTTAAACAGCAATCTATATTTTTTTTCATTCAGGGATAGTGCTTAGGAACTGCAGACTAAGTATTAAAATAAGCCTCCACATGGAGGCATGAATAACTCAGTCCACATGGTTTGTAGCTGCATCAGGGATGTAAACTTTGTACTTGTCAAGGTGAGAAGGTGATTAATTTTTGCTAAAGCGCTAAATGAGAATCTCTTACCTGACACAGCCATCTGTGGCCACACAAATTGGTGCCTGAGTGGGTTATTTTGGTTATCTGTTCCTCTTGGTTCATGATTTAAAAAATAATGGGTGGAGTGATGACCCGCACAGCCAGTGGACCTTGGTACTGAGGGTATGTCCCAGACTGAAGGCCAGCCACACACACTGTGATATCCTGTTATGAAATGCTGAGCTACAGGAGGTGTTCCAGAGCAATTCTTTGGTTCTTAAACCTGAGTTTTTGCTCCCACGTTAACCATCTAAAATTACCTTTCTGAAATGCCTGGCTTACCACTTTAAATGCACAGGTTTCAGTGTAGCTTTTTGTAAAACATACATGTACTGTATATTTTACCAAATAATTTTAATTATAGATTTTTTTCTGATTTCTTAGTTTTGAGAAACAAAACAAATGATGTACTCATTATAGATAATTTATTTTGGGGTCAGGCTAGTTACGTGTGCTGCTATTTATATGTTTGTCTTTTTTAGTATAATTGACAAAATACACATTTCAGGTGTACAACATTTTATTTTGAATTACATAAATGTTGTCAAATGCTTGCTACATTCAAACTAACTACCATATCTTCATCTCACAGTTATTCTTAATTCCCTCCCTGAGAAACATAATAGCAGAAGTAAAAAAAAAATACTTTTGAACAAAAAGAAATTATACTCAGCATTTCACCTCCAGAGACAGATTCCAATAAAAACGTGAACATCATTCTAAACAATTTCTTGATATCTCTGTGTAAATGTGCATTTTTGAAAATAAAAAAATTAACAGCACCATATACAGTGGATTTGATCAAAGCATAGACTTTTATCCACTCATAGTCTTCTACCTCACTCCAAACAAACATATCCTGTCCTTGTTACCACTGTCTGAAGCAGGTCTTCAAGTCTACTTTCCTGATCTCTTAGAGTGAATGCTGCTGCCGAGAGCCATCTAATAAAAAGTGGGCTTGTACAAACACATCACTGTGTCCTCACCCACTCTACTCACGGGTCTGACGCTGTGTGACTTCTGGCTCCTCCTCAAAGTCAAAATGACAATGAAAGGAAATGTCTTGAACAAATTCAGGGCTTTGAGGCAGCCAGGACACCACAACTGAAGACACTCAGGAAAGAGGACTCCAGAGCTGCTTCAGAAAGGGTCAGGGAGGATGGCATGAGTGTGTTCAAAGTGACGGGGAGGACTTTAAAGGGGATTCAGGGAGATATGTCTTTATTGTAATAATTTTTTAAATGTAAGCATGGTGAATGTTAATATATGCATACATATATATATGGTTTGAAACCTATTGCTTCACTTAATGGATATATCTTATATATTTTTATATTTTATGTCAATGAATAGGCAGTGTACTTACTCAAGATTTTCAGGGCAGTGAAGCTACGCTGTGTAGTTATCATGTGTACGTGTAATTATATATCTAGTAACAGCATATCCATGCAGTTACATAGCTGACGACAGTGCGCATGTGCTATTCCACGTTTCTACACAGCAGACATGACAGCACAGGGCGCGACCCCTTGGGTTAGCTGTGGACCTGTGGTGACAGTGCCGTGC